CAGTAAGAACGACAGAAATGCTAACAAAAAAATCTTTATTGGAAATAATAGTCATTGCCCACATGTATTTGTAGCGATAAGGACTAGAAACCTGCTTAATCTTTCTTCTTCTAGAAGCTACTATTTTGCACCCAGTGCTGAATTTTTGGGTGTGTGTGTTTGTGTGCATGTATGTGTCGATTTCCAGCTGCTTTGCGGAGAACGTTTAATGAAAGGCCACGCCAATCAATCGACAGCTGCATGAATTATGACAGCTAGGGAGTGGAAGGGACAAGGAGAACATAAAATAATAGATCAGTGGTATAGAGAAGTGTGGTATATAGCTATTAATGATAAATTAACATGTGCCATTAAGGTAAGACAGGGAATATGCAGGAGAAATGGTTCTGAGGAGATATTGAGGGTGTTTGTAGAATTTGTACTGTTAAAACAGAAAGGGGTCAAACCATCGCAAGAGGTGTTCAAATTTGGATAGTTACAATGGAATGGTCTCGGTAATGGGGTGCACATTTTTATTCTTATTTATTTATGATGATTACTTTGTCAAATAAATAACAACAGCAACATGTGATGGACAAACCATCAGTAGGCACATTTGAACCTACTTTTGTTGATTTCTCTCTCTTCCTGTCTTTGTGAGCTTGCCCATTGATGAACAAGCTACATTGCAGTTGGCTCCCTTCCTCCATTCACGAGTTAGCCTACATGCTGCAGCTCCTGTCAGGAGCTCGTCCTACACTCGAGTAGGACCCTGGCAGAGACACATGCCCGACTGGCATGTTCCCTCCCTCCTGGTCAATCATTCGGGAGCTTCTAAAGCTTTCTTCAGCCCGAACATCACAGTGACCGAGGCCAACAGACATCAGCACACTTAGGGATCTGCAGAGTGTTCGCAGTTTGCGTGACAGACCTCAGCAACTCAGCATTTTGGCTAATCTACTTTATTTACATATAAAAACACACGGAGCACTGCAACATCGCTCCCTCTCTCTCTAGCATCAGACAGAAAAGAGAAAAAGAACAAAGGACAATAGTCCCACTTCACAGAACACACTAACACAAACATCCTGTCTCCGTCACTTCCCACTTTGTGGAGTCAAAACATACACCATCATGTGATAGACAACAATCCCATGACTGCAATCATGGGGCAGGAATTCTAACAGCTCCTAGTGAATGTCTTCGGTTTTGGAATGGTTGGCATTAGCACGTGGTTCAGTAAGTCATGTTGTCTCTTCCTTGCCCCTGCCCCGCTCTGCTTTTAGAACGAGAGGTTGCAGGCACTCCTGGCAGACAACGAGAAGATGACCCTATCAGATTTTGAGCCTATTCCCCTGCCCCTGGAACCTCAGGTGAAAATCCGAGGGATAATCCCGGAGAAAGCGACGCTGTTCAAGGTAAATCACCTACCGTCTTGTCTGTTGTCCATGTTCTGTGAGCGGGATGCAAGCATGTCAACCAGGATTTGATTGTTGTTGTTGTTTTAGCATGCTCTGGTAAAGCTTGCTAGCTTATGCTTGCACACTAGAACAAACTCCCTTGGAAGATGGTGCATTCTCCTTCATAGGACGTTTTTTTAAACAGAGGTGGGATAGCCATCTGCCGGGAATCCTTTAGCTGTTCTTCCTGCATTGTAAGGGGTTCAGCTGAATGAACCTCTCAGATCTACAGTTCTGTGATTCTGTGAGTTTGTACACTTGGAGAGAATCTTTCTTTTTTGCAAGAAGGGCTGGGGTTAGGCTCATTTAAGAAGATTTAAGAAGGCACATTTAGGAAGATTGAAGAAGTGGGGCTCGGAGGTGGGAGCTGGCATATTTGAGGCCTGTTGGGGTGCGGGATGTGCCCTCTTCTTAAAGGAACTGCTTCAGAAATGAACTCTCAGGGACTGGGCCAAGGAAGAATGGTGGAGACCACCTCCTCATCCTGACCCTTCCAGAGAAGAAGACAGTTCCGAATCCCAATAGGGGTTTGAGAGAGGTCACAGCTCAGAGGAAGATGAGCAGAAAAGTTGGGAAATAATGGGAGAGGAGGAGGAGGAGGAGGAGGCAGAGCCGGAGCAGCTGGCTGACTAGAAAGCATTCCAGACCTACCATCTCCCAGAACCTGGTGAGCCTTAAAAGTAGGAGAGCAAAGGGCTTGGAGACAAATGGCCCTAAGCGGCAACCGTAAAGTTTGCGGTGCTGTTGATGAATGAGGAAGTAGGAGATAAAGGGATTTTGGGATCCGTAGTTGTTAGGAGATCCCGGTTCCCCTCACAAAGCTACAGTTTCCAGAGTGGTCTGACATTCAGTTTCTCTTCACCGTAGCTCTGTCAAGGGAATAGGGATTGCCAATCAACTCCTTGCGCCGTTAACAAACTGCAGCTCCCATAATTCATTGTGGGAAGCCATGACTGTTCAGAATGGTACCCTGGTGCTTTAAATGAATGGTGCAAAGGTGTATGGCCTTAGTAAGGGTTGGGGGAAGACAGCAGAAATGAGGCCCATGTATGTTTGGGCCTCTGTGTGGTACCCTTACCTCACCCTGGATATGTTGTGCAAAGATGTGGGCAAGCAGGCATATATATTTTTTTGTTTGAGACTCAGCGACAGAGAATAAGGACGCTGGATAATGTAAAAAAAAAAAAAAAGATAACTATATTTATTTTGCAGAGGCTAATTGGTTTCATTCCCATCCTTTTCACGAGGGACGAATTGCCAGCTAAACAAATCAGGTCTTTTCGGAAAGGGCATTTTAAACAGAGTTGCCATTTTCACTAAGTTAATTAGGGAGGGCAGCTAATTGCTTTAAAGCTATCCTTCCCCTTAGCATTTTTTAATGTTTCAGTTCAGTTTTATTTAGCCCTTTCAAGTACTGTTGAGATGATAGGGGGTATATTGGATGCACACAGAAGCTGATGGACTTCTGAGTTCGTTCGTTTTCTCCTGTGGAAATACTATTTATTTTCCTCGCATTTGTATCCCACCTTTCCTGGAACCCAAGGCAGCACCCATAAATACATGCATACATATATGCAATTTTTTATTTGTATGTTGCCTTTCCACAGTGCTCAAGGAAACTTACAACGTGAACAAAACACATAACTGCAATATCACGAAAGTAGCCCTATACGGTACATTAAAACATGAAGAAATGCAAAACCAGACTGAACAATTTCCATGTAAATCACAATGTCTAAAATACAGATACAAAAAAACCAACTGCAACAGACACTGACCAGATCTAGATCTGCTTAGCTTCATCAAGCAGGTGGCCTTGTATGCCTTCAGGCCAAAGCATGCTCTGTCATTGTCTTAACTGGAGTGGATCCTTTGCTTTATGGCAGAGTTAGGGAACCTGGTGCCCTTCTAATATTGCTGAACTATAACTCTCAGCACCTTGGACTATTGGCCATGCTGCCTAGGAGTGATGGGAGATGTAGTTCAGGAGTATCTTCAGGGTATCTCAGGTGTATGTCTGGATTGGGGCTGGGTCAGCACAGCCTTCCACCGCTTAACTGAAAATGGATTTAGAATGTTTCTCGCTAGACTGAGGAGTGGTTGAAGCTAGTATGGATTGTGACCTGCACACCTGATTGTGCAATACACAACTCCTGCAACCTCTCCATCCTTTTTAAGCATTAGCTTATGTGTATCTTCTCCCTCTCTCTCTTTAAAATTTAGTTAATATAACAGAGAACACAGCATGAAGCAATACAAGTCATACCTCGGGTTGCAGACACTTCAGGTTGTGTTTTTTTGGGTTACGGACCCGCCGAAACCCGGAAGTACTGGAACAGGTTACTTCTGGGTTTTGGCGCTCGCGCATGTGCAGAAGACCAAATTGCAACCCGTGCGTGCGCAGACGCGCCACCGCGGGTTGTGAACGTGCATCCCACATGGATCACGTTTGCACCCTGAGCGTCCACTGTACATAGTGTAACAACAGCAGTTCCAAAGCAGCTCAGAAAAAAAGCCAGGCACAATGTGTTGATTAAAACCTGAGAAAATAAAACGGGGTTTTTTAATAAAAAAGTTGAAAGTTCAAAAAGTACATAATTATATGTGCAGTAAACATGATGAGACATAAATAAAAAAGAGAAAATGAAAAGGAGAAACAGAACCCGTGTAGAAGGGGAAATGAAGGGAGAGGGGAAGGGAACCCAAAACTGTATATTTTACAAGGTTGTTATTGTGCTTCACCAAATCTTAAGCTATTACAGTATTTGTAGGAATGGATTCCAAATATTGAATTTGTCCATGGCAAGTCTGCGTTTATATGCAAGTTGTTCATATGTTTATATAAGTCTTCAATCCAATCGTAGAAGGGAGCCGCATTTTTATTTTTCCAGTTCATCAGTATCAGTCTTTTTGCTGTGGTAACGGCGCATGGAGAGTCCACTGTGGTTCCATGTGCTGGGCATATAATTCAAGAGGATGTTTTGCTTTGTAAATGTAAGGCTGTTCTGTAGAGAAAATAAAACAATTTTTTAATGACCTGTGTATATTATATGAAGCAGGTACCAGGCAAATGTCATTTTACATGGTCTTAAAACATTGGCAGTCCATGTACTGTACTAAAATTTAAATGGTACCTTATTGATCTATTCGTCACATTTTAACCATATATTTATATTTTTCTATTGGATATGTTATAAACCAGAGAGGGAAGTTGGGGGAAGTCGCCTGGAGGGGGGGTGTCAATTGAAAATGTAAGAATGTAATTGGAACATTTGATTATGCTAAAACTTGTTGTAAAATATTAATAAAAAAATAATTTGGGGGGGAAATTGGCAGTCCATATAGGTTCTCCAAGGACAGATTTGTGAGGCTGGTGGGAGAGAAGAATATGTAGCTTTCCCTTAATACATTTCATGTAAATGACATTTCCAAGATCACTGCTCCTCTGGCCATAGGAACACAGGAACCTGTTTTATACAGAATCCATTTAGTTCAGTATTTTCTGCATTGACTGCAAGATACTTTCCAGGGTTTCGGACTGGGAATATCCCCAGCGCTACCTGGAGATACCAGGGATTGAACCTAGGACCTTCTGCATGCAGAGCAAAATCTCTCCCTCTGAGCTAGAGAGGCTGAAGAAACCTCAGCTTCGTATCTCTTTCCCTCTCCAACCCTGCCGTCCTTTTACAGTCACGGTTTAATTTGCCGCGTTTTCCGTTTCTCTAACCAGAGCGCCCTAATGCCAGCCCAGTTGTTTTTCAAGACTGAAGACGGGGACAAGTATCCTGTTATATTTAAACACGGGGATGATTTGCGTCAGGATCAACTGATACTTCAGATCATTTCGCTCATGGACAAGGTGACAATGGCTAAGCAGGGTGGGATGGAGATTGTGAATAGGTCTTTGTAAACATGGCAGCCAGAATTTCATTCTTTAAACAACTTTAAAAAAAATGATCTGAGTGCTCTTATTTTTCTATTTTTCTCTTTTCTGCTCCCTTCCTTCCTTCCTTCCTTCCTTCCTTCCTTCCTTTCTTTCTTTCTGCCCCCTTCCCCCCACTTTTGTGCTTTTATTGTATCTAGATAAAAGTTTTAGTTTGGTTTTTTTTAAAAAAGGAAAAGTTTTGTATTTTTCTCTATAAACCGTAATAAAATTTATTTTTAAAAGTGATCTAAGCGTCTTACGGAGATATTAGGAGGGATGTAAAGGGAAACGCAGGATAGCTGAGTTGGTAAAAGCATGGGACTCTTAATCTCAGGGCTGTGGGTTCAAGCCCCATGTTGCGCAGAAAAGATTCCAGCAATTCAGGAACTCTGTGGTTTTATATGATTTACACGCATGGATAAAGGTTAGAAATGTGATGGTTGAAGGGAGCCCATCCATACAGGAAGGTCAGAGCAGGTGAGCCTTTAAATCAGGAATGGTGAAGCTGTGACGTTGGAGGTGTTTTTATACCTAGAAGCCTTGCTGGCACAGACCAAAGGCCTAGCTAGTCCCCGACCCTGTTTTTCAGAACAGCCAGCGAGATGGGAAGACCACAAGCAGGACAGGACCACAATATTGTTTCCCCACTTGCCATTCTCAGCACCTGATATACAGAGGCAAACTTCCATCATGGCTTGTAACTTTTGAAAGCCTTACGGTCCTCCATAGATTTGTCCAAACCCCTTTTCAAGACATCAACGGTGGCAGGAGATTTCTGTGAACCAAAGCCAGTTTCTTTCCTTACCTGTGGCCTGAGCCATTCCGCAAGCCATTTTATTTGATTTTTCAAATATAGATTTATAACAAAACCGAATACATTTTCATATACAGAGATTTCTCTGACTCTCGAGACCTCCCCTCCGTGGGTCCTAATGCCAGTGTTTTCAACTGCATCTTATATCAAATCTATATTTTATATCTATCCATATTATCCATAGAGTTTGATACATTACAAGTGAGGTTAAAATCCTCCTAATGTTTTCATCTGCTCACAGTGGTCTCCTAAATAAATTATAATTTATTTATATCAATAAATTATATAAATTATAATTATATAATTTATTCTTTCTTGAAGTATTTGTCTTCTTGGTTCCTGAGCTTTCTGGTCAGTTTTACCATTTCGGCGTAGTCCCAACAGCTTAGTTTGCCATTCTTCTCTGGTAGGGACTTTGTCTTCTTTCCATCTCTGGGTCAGTAAGATCCATTCAGCTGTTGTTGCATACATTAAAAGTCTTTTCTGCTCCTTTGGGATGTCGGTACCTACAATTCCTAATAAAAAGGCTTCTGGTTTGTTTTTTACGAAAGTTATTTTAAACATTTTTTTTTCAGTTCATTATATATCATCTCCCGGAAAGCTTTTATTACCTTACATTGCCACCACATATGATAGAAGATACCTGTATGCTGTCTTCCAATGCAGCAATAATTTCTTAGCGCTCTCTCTCTCTCTCTCCCCTGCCTTATGCTTGTCTCTTCTGTTTTACTTGTAGCTCTTACGCAAGGAGAATCTGGATTTGAAGCTGACCCCTTACAAGGTCTTGGCCACTAGTACAAAACATGGTAAGCCTACCTCCCAAAACACACTCACCATACCAGGAGCGGTGAGTATTTAGAGAACTCTCAGTGCTAAATGTTTATTTTGTGTGTTTTTTAACGAACCTTTCAACCGCTTTGGTGCCCTTAAAAGTGGGGTACAGCAAAGATACAAATTTGATAAAATGCAAACTCTAAAGAACAGTTCTCCGGCCTGATTAAGACTTAGTTAATTCCACCCCACTGCTTTTAAAAGCCCACAGGAATTTGAGGTTGGCTTCTTAGCACCTACGCCTGAGATTTTCTGACCCTGAGTCTCATTCTCTCTATCACCCTCCCTGCTATTTTCCAGGTTTCATGCAGTTCATTCAGTCAGTCCCTGTGGCTGAGGTTCTTGCAACCGAAGAAAGTATACAGGTTTGTGTTTTGATTTGGGTTGTCTGTACTGGATTCAGCATCTGCTCGTTCTTTCCTTTTTCCCACTTGAAGTTGGCAGTGGCCTTCTTCCCTTGAGATTGCATCACATGCAGTGGTATCACAATGGGGGGGGGGCGGTTCGCCCCGGGTGCCACGTCGGGGGGAGGTGACAGGAAGGCACCCTGCGGGGGCTCGCGGAGGCGCGAGCAGCCATCGCGTCGCCACAGCCGCATCTGGAGGATACTCTGTTTGTGGCTGCAACCACGAGCAGAGGATCCCGGTGCTGGCGACAAACCGCTATGTACAGCGCATGTGCGGTGTCGCGTGCATTCACTGTACGTAATGACGCCGCACATGTGCTGTACATAGCGGTTTGCTGCCGGCGGCGCTCAAGCACCATATGGACGGCAGTGGGATCCCTCCGTTGCCGCTACAGCCGCATGTAGAGGATCCTCCATTCGCGGCTGTAGCAGCAACGGAGGGATCCCAGCACCGCCCGTACAGTGCTGGAGCGGCCCCACGGGCAAACCACTATGTACAGCGCATGTGCAGCGTCGCTACGTACGGTGAATGCGTCATGCGTAGTGATGCCACACATGCACACTACGTAGCGACGCCCCACCCCGGGTGTCACAATGCCTTCGTTCGCCCCTGATCACTTGTGGGAGATTCTAGGATAAAGCAGTTTGTAAAAGGAATTCTGCATCATATAAGGCTGTTAGGATACCGGAATTCCAAGGAAGGAAATAAAAACTGAGTAGATTGTGTGTGTGTGTGTGTGTGTGTGACCCTTCTTGATTAATATTTCTTGTGCTTCCCACCACCCACAACTGACCACAAATGGAATGACCCAAACAAATGCTTTTGCTTGGTTCTAATGTTTCTCCATGTGTACTCCTTAAGGCTGGTTTCCACTCTCTTCCTCTGTCATCCCCTTCTCCTTGTGCCCTCCATCTTTCCCAACATCAGGGTCTTTTCCAGGGAGTCTTCTCTTCTCATGAGGTGGCCAAAGTCTTGGAGCCTCAGCTTCACGATCTGTCCTTCCAGTGAGCACTCAGGGCTGATTTCCTTCAGAATGGATAGGTTTGATCTTCTTGCAGTCCATGGGACTCTCAAGAGTCTCCTCCAGCACCAGAATTCAAAAGCATCAATTCTTCGGCGATCAGCCTTCTTTATGGTCCAGCTCTCACTTCCATACATCACTACTGGGAAAACCATAGCTTTAACTATATGGACCTTTGTCGGCAAGGTGATGTCTCTGCTTTTTAAGATGCTGTCTAGGTTTGTCATCGCTTTAACTATCATGGCTAATAGCCATTGATAACCACATCCACCTGGAACAGGAATGCTAAGCTTACTCAGGAGCTTTCAGTGTGGGACTTCGTCAAAACCTTTCTGAAAGTTGCATGTTCTAAAAATCTGTTTGTTGTGGTGGCTAATATGCTGTAGACCAGCAACATGTTAGTGTTGGGGCAAAGGGGATTTTGCTCCTCTGACCTCCTACTTTTTAAAGCTGAATTTTCTTCTCCAGGGGGCCTTGTTCATATTTCTAGGCCAATTCACTCTTGGGATTCTAGTTGTAGCCCCCTCCCTAAACAAAGTACATTAATGCCCACCTTGCAATTCGTTTCCTCTATCTTCATTCACAATTGCTTTGAATTGCTAATGCTATTTAAATTTTGCTACCCAGGCACAAAAGGAATATATCTACTTTTGAAGCATTTAGCACTCTCCGTAATTATGCAATAACTCTACATTTGAAATTCAACAGGATGGGATTATTTTAAAGAACGAGAGGCCCTTGAGTGTGTGTGTGTGTGTGTGTGTGTGTGTGTGTAATGCAAAGTGATTTTAAATCTTTCCGTTGCGGAGGTCAAGAAAATTCCATCAGATATCAACTTAGCGCTGCGATGTTAGCACTAAGGGGGAAAAATGTAATTTGCTTGATTGTTCTTTGCTTAATGTTATCTGCCGTTTTTAAAAGAAATATAGGCTATTTCTGCACTGAGCCTTGGACGCCTTTTAAATATCAAGATTGATACTTCGGGGTGAGGAGACGGGGGGCTGTGTTCACCAGTAACACGCAGTAATGGATTTTATCCAAGGCCACCAACTACTTACGAGTTCAGCCAGCCCCCAGAGACTCTTTCAGAGCTTTACGTGGGAGAAGAAATAAACATTAGAGCGATGTTCTTTTTCAGAACTTCTTCCGAAAACACGCACCAAGCGAAACGGGACCCCACGGAATAAGCGCAGAGGTTATGGACACTTACGTCAAAAGCTGTGGTAAGTGATGGCAGGAGATTAGGAGGGCACAGATTGTATTAAAGCAGGGCAATGGCTGCGGATCAGTGGCGAAGTGTTTGCCTTGCAAACAGTCCCTGGGCTGGGAGAGACTCCTGCCTGTAACTCTGAAACTCTGGAGAGCTGCTGTCAATCAGTGTAGGGAACACTGAGTTAAATGGAGCATGTTCAGACTTGGTGCAAGGTAAAATCTGTTCTGGTCAAATGGGCGCAGGATTTCGGTTGTAACATCCCAATGGAGCACTGGGAAAATTTATGGAAAGTCAACATGAAGTTCACCGCAGGTTACACTCTGAGGGAAAATTTTATGAAGATGCAATACCGTTGGTATTTGACGCCACTAAAATTATCGAAAATGTATAAGAACATTCCAAGTAAATGTTGGAGATGTGCAGAAGGGGAAGGCTCAATGTTATACATGTGGTGGACTTTCCTCTTGGGCATTCTAGGCCATGACATACCAAAAAATCATAGCTGTCAACTTTTCCCTTTTCTTGCAAGGAATCCTATTTGGAATAAGGGAATTTCCCTTAAAAAAAGGAAAACGTTGGCAGCTATGCAAAAAATGCAAGGGAAATATTCTTGTATGCCACGGTGGCTGCAAGAATATTGATAGCTTTGAACTGGAAGGGTGAGAAATTACCGACAAAGCTGGATTGGCAGAATAAACTGTTGGAATATGCTGAGTTGGCAAAATTAACAGAAAATCTGAGAGATCACGCTGAACAAACTTTTATTAGGAATTGGGACATGTTTAAAAAGTATCTCAAGGATTATTGTAATAACATGAAGTCTGTGGCAGCTCTTGAAAAACTTCTGTGATATATTGGATGAGTTTTAGAAAACATAATATTTAGGAAATCTAACAAAAGAAAACTGAAATAAATAGTGCAATAGGCAGAACAACGTTTAGAAGCGTGAGGGGTTGACAGAAAGTCGTTGGAAACTTAAGAAGAACATGATGCAATGTAACAAATTAATATTTTTTTTATTTTTTCTATGGATAATTTTGTTATAATACTTTTTTCTAATTTCAGTAAAGCATTTTT